CCCCTCATCTCAGCCTCACAGTTTTTCGAGATCTGGCTTCACTTCGACGCTGACGGTGACGATCTGCTCGCTCCGGGTCTCCCCGTCGGTCCCCTCCCCGCCCCAGCCCGCCCGGCTTCTTTCCCTACTCCTCCCCTCCCGCGCCGCGCTCACCTCCAGGCTGGCGGGACTGGGAACTGGGAAGTTTGTATATTGCTTCTACGTTACCCCGAACAGTAAACTTCTTTCTCTCCAAGAAAGTGGAGGGGCAGGGATTGGGGGACAATGATCCCCAAAGGCCCTGTGGCCATGCTCAGCACCCCTCCTCTGGGTAACCCAGGTCCAGGCAGGAGAGAGCCTCTGGGGTGGCCGGGAAGCCGCCTGCCCTGCACAGGAAGCCGGGAAGGGCCGGGATGCTGACACCTGGCGCCTCTGTCTCCGCAGGAAGCGGGTACCTGGAAGGGAAGGAGCTGCAGAACCTGATCCAGGAGCTCCAGCAGGCGCGGAAGAAGGCCGGGCTGGTAGGTTCACGTTGCAAGGGAGGAAAATGCGTTACACGGTCTCATAAAGAGCCAGCGGGGTCCAGTGGTTTCCAAGGCTGTAAATCCCTAGTGACTGAGAAAGGGGAGGAAGAGGGCCTTCCCAAACTGTGTAGGGTAAAGAGAAGGAGAGACAGGGAGACAAAGAGAGACAGAGAGAGGGAGAGAGGGAAAAAGAGGCAGAGATATAGACACAGAGGAGAGACAGAGACAGACAGAGAGAGGGGGCAAGACAGAGAGACAGACGAGGAGAGAGCAAGAGATAGAGAGGAAGAGACGGAGGGGGGAGAGAGACAGAGAGATACAGAGAGACAGAAGTAGGGAGAGACATAGAGAGACAGGAAGAGGGACACAGAGAGACAGACAGAGGGAGCCCCTAAGGGGAAAAGTCGGGCAGCCTGAAACTGGAGCGTGCAAGTCCAGCTTCTTCTGTACTTGCTCTGCTCTAATGGTGCATAAGAGGAAGGTGTGTGCGGAGACCTAGCAGGTCAGCGCCTTGGGGACTGAGTCTGGTTAGGTAATTTTTAACTTCTCTCTAACTGCGTGAGCAGCCGGGTAGGAATACATCTCTGCCCCTTGGTGGTCAGGAAGCAGATCTGCAGGTTATGGATCCCCTCCTAGGGCCGGTGATTGTTGCGAGGCTGATGTGGCTGGAGAGCTGGGAAAATGCCCTGTCTTGACTTTCCTCACGGGGAAAGTCGGACACTTGGGGAATGGCAATGAGCAAGAATTTAACCAGAAAGGTGCTCATTTCTGTCAAAAGCAAGAAACTCAAAAGTTAGAAATGTAAAACGTAAAGCAATTTTAACAATTCAATATGTTTTAAAAAGTGATGCTTTGATGTAAGCAATTAGTGGCTTTTTCAAAGTAAGCTATATTTGCAATTTAAGCCATTAGTTAATGAAACAAATGACAATTCTTACTAATTCTGAATGACTTCCTTTGGTCATGAATTAACCTGTTAAGAAAATACGTAGTCAGCATAAAAATAAAATATACCCAGCTTTAAGTTGTAGATGAGATGACTGTCCAAAGGAAAATGGGTTAAGAGCGTTACTAATCTATTGGGGTTTACGTGAGACTGAATTTCGGAAACAGGGCTGGGTTCGGGCAGTTAGATGTCACTCTTTGGCTTTTTGGACTATCACTAGGGAGAGATTTTACATTGCAGATCATATATACAGGGCGGGGCAAGAGTAGGTTTACAGTTGTTCCTACGGAAAATAATACAATAACTAATAGATAGTAATACAAGAATAAACTCTGTTTCCTGTACTCGCAACTGTAAACCAACTTTGTCTCACCTTCTATATATACATATATTTGGAGGAAAACATAGGTGTGACCCTTAGCAGGTTACCACCTCTAGGACTGAGTTATATAAAATTATATATAATATATATATGACTTATTAATAGTTACATTTTGCTCTGTGTGACATACATCTCTGCTCAACATATTCAAAATAATCCCAGAGGACTCTAAAATGTAATGCATCACAGAACTACCAGTTGCTAAAATTAATCATTGACAGAGCTGATTTAAAACCAGGCAGTGCTCTGGGGATTGTTTTACCCAGGTTTAATATTATACAAATCTGAAAGTATAACTGAATGAGATCAAGTAAAATAGAAAATATTTTATAAATTCTTTCTTTCCACACCCTCCCCCACCTTATACATTATCATGTAAATAAATTTGTACAATACTATCTATATAGTTCTATGTATCTTTGACTAATAAAGCAAAAACAAATGTCTTCCTCATTTAAAAAAATATATTTAAAATATTTGGTTGAAAAATCTTACTTGTTAAAAAATTTCAAATTGACACCTTGTAAGATGCTTCCAGCAAACACATGATTGTATTTTTATTTTTCTAGAAGTAATTTTAATATTGAGATTTACTTTCACCCTAGAAATCAAATATTTAGAAACTACACATTTTTTCAGGTTTTTCTTTTCCTCTTCCCATTTTAATATCTGTATTTTTTGTAGATGACGACTCTATGTTAGAGGTTTAGAGATTTTAGAGCTTATTTTTTTTTTTACTGCCTGGACCCCAATTTTAGACGATTGGAAACTCTAATTATTAGATTATAATCCAAGAATACCAAATCTGAGCACAGGTACAGGATTATATCCAGTTGCTTGGTACCTTGATTATTGACTATTTTTTCTAAGATGATGTTAAGATTTAACAATGAATGCTTTGTCTTTTGTATACATTAAAAACTTAGGGTTTACACTAGAACATATAGTCCCACTATTACCACGTTCACTTTCTTACAATTTGTTGCCATAGTAAAATTTAATAAATGCAAGTTGAAATTAATCCACTCTAGAGGAAGCTTTTTAAAAGGCTGCATTATAATTAAATTGCTTAGTTACTATCCGTTTCCTCAATTCTACTAACAATATCTACTTTCATTCATAAAGGAGTTTGTAAAACTTGTAGTAATGATATTCAACCTCAATATAGCCCTTAAATTATACCAACTGATCTATCCCCAGAGCATCGGCTGGTAAACACCACCATCTTTTTAGTTATGACAAGAACAGAGACCTTAATTTGCTGTGCAGGGATGTACAATGGTTGTTGGTAAAGGCTGACCTATTTTAAACAGGCTTCGGTGAGGGCGCAGGGCTGTTCTAAACGGGCTGCATGGAGACCACGGGTCTGCATTCGACGTCCGGAGTGCCAGCCCTGTGCTCACAGTTCAGATCTCCAACCTGCCAACAGGGGAGACTGTGTGAGCTACAGGACAGATGGGG